TTCTCCTTCTTTTTCTCCTTCTCCTTCTCCTTCTCCTTCTCCATCTCCATCTCTTTCTCCATCTCCTTCATCTTATCATTCTCTTTCATTCGATCCATCGACACTCGATTCCCAACAGCATCTCAGCTTAGAAAGTTGTCTTTTGACTGCGTTTCTTAGTTCTGTAATTCGCCAACAGTAGATGATCGGATTAATGATCCCATTCAGCATGACGACAGTCTCAGCCAGAACCAACCCACTCCTCAATCCCTGCGACCACTTTTGGATTAAAACAAAAGCGGCTAAAAACGCAATTAATGGAATATAGCTCAACACAAAAGCTCCTATCACGTAATTTATGGTATTTACGGACTTCTTAAACCTAGGCATGTTTAAAGATGGCTGGTTTATTGAGGGCTGTTGAGCTTGTATTTGTGCCGAGTGCCTTCGTATTGCCCGAAAAATATTGACAAAGAAAAAGCCATTCAAAACAAGGACCAAAGGAATAAAACCAAAAGCGARAGTATAACCAATGAACTGCATTCCTAGACTTTCGAGAAATACTCGACTAGTAGAAGCAAGGATGGAGCAAACCCAGATTGAGAGCAAGAGTATACCACAACGTCTAGGTGTGACAAACTCTTGATATCTTAGATGAAGACGAATAGCAAGGAACCTATCTCCTGTGATGGCAGTCAATGTAAAAAGTGTTACCACCCCCAAAATCGAGTTACTCGGAACATAAACATTTCGCACTTTGAGGAAAAACGAAACATCGCGTTTGTATTCAGCGAACAAGTACACACAATATGACGGTTGTGTGAAAACACCAACAAAGAAGTCGGACGTCGCTAGGCCAAGAAGGAGAATATTCGAAGACTGCGTTCGTAGTGATGTTGTCATGGAGATGGTTGCCATGATTACCAGGTTCTTACAAGCAGATATCGGGGAAATTAAACTATTAATAGCTATAAAAGCCAGAAGAAAATGATTGTGGTGTTCATTTAGAGGTGTGGTTGAAAAATATGGCCGTAAGAGCGAACTTGAAGTTGATGTTGGACGCGTTTGGTTGCCTGCACTCGTATTCATGGCCGCGTTTCCCAGAAATTTGGAGTAATAAAATAAATAAATAATCTTACTTCGTTATCTTGAATCTCTTGAGAAGGAATGAATGGCTGGAGTTGAAACTAACTTTTCCCCCATTTAAATGGAACTTGGCAGACGAAATCTTCAAAGCTCGAAGGTCTCAACCGGCGACCAACAATATAGGCTGATAAATTACTTTTGTCTCGGCAGCCTTACTGAGAGCCCAATTGAACCAATTACTATTAAAGCAAAGTAATAGTCTCAACCGGCGACCAACAATATAGGCTGATTGATTGCTTTTTTTCGGCAGCCTTACTGAGAGCTCAATTGAACCAATTATTATATAAACAAAGTAATAGCCTCAACCGGCGACCAACAATATAGGCTGATTGATTGCTTTTTTTCGGCAGCCTTACTGAGAGCTCAATTGAACCAATTATTATATGAGCAAAGTAATTTGAAAGAGTTCAATCAAAGCAAAGATTTGTCAAGCTTTTATTGGTAATTGCAATGGAGAAATAATCAATTTGGGCAGGGAAGGAATATTAGACTGCATGTGAAAACAATAGCGCTCAAGCTTGACGTTCTACACGTACCATTTCCAGAATCCAGCTCTCAAGTGGCTTTTTATCTCATGTTTTTCATTATTATCTTCACATTCTCAAAGGAGTTTAAAAAGAAATTTGACATCCTTACACGAATCTTCCATCGAGAAGTTTAAAGTGTATACCAAGGAAAAAWTTTTTTTTCCAAAATCACTTATATGTGAATAGTGTAGTATCATGGTTGCAGTATTTTTCTTTTCGAAGATATAGTATATATTTGAAATAATATCAATATGCAAATGAGATGACGTAAATTCAAGACTAATTTATTATACAAAAATGCTGTTGTGGAAAGTACTGTTTTATAAATTACAAATTATCCTTATGACTGACATTTATGGCTTTGTACACTTTTAGGCTATTACACTTCAGAACACTTGTCGTAAATTACACTGCAAAATGTAACCCTTTCCTGAATTTACGTCATTCATTTGCATATCGATATTTCAAATGTTTATATCTCTGAAAAGAGAGGTCCACATACAAAAATACTGCAACCATACTACTACACTGTTCACATGTAAGTGATTTTGAAAATAATTTTTTCCCTTGATATACACTTTAAGGATGGGCAAATCCAACACTTTCAAGCTTTTATTTAAAAAAATTTAATTCCCTTAAAGTAAAGTGCGATTGTTTTAAAAGTACCCGGGAAGAAAAGAACCCGAATATGTAAGAACTTACTAGAATAATTATACAGCTTCTCATTAATCCCATATAGGTAAGTCTTGTTGATATGGGATTAATTAGGCAGCTATATAATTAATAGGTAATGGGATTTCATGCTCCCCAATCAAAAAATAATTAGACTCGAAAAATTCCTCTGACTGCCAAATTGGACTCGGCCTACGGCCTCATCCAATTTTGTCAGCCCTCGGAATTTTCCTCGTCCAATCATTCTTAATTGGACAGCATGGAGTTCTATTACATATACTAATACTATGATCACCTCGGATTCTTTTGTCTTCCGAGGGCTTTACAAACGCGAATTTCCCGCATGCATAGAACATGAGGAAAATTTAGAAGTCAGAGAAATCCTATCCTACTTATGATATTACTGCACGGTTTCCATGTGGGACGCGTTCTCAAATCTCCCTCGTGCCATGGTATTACTTATAAATATAACCAAGAAAAGAACCAGAATATGTAAGATCTTACTAGAGATATAACCAAGAAAAGGCAATTTTAATTCAATTCGCAAGGGCCTAAAGTTCCTTTTTTCAATAGACAAACGAGTAAAGATGAATTACTAGAACATATATAAGTTTGGTTGTCATCTAATATTGTGCTTCTTAAAAACGTATCGTCCAATCAGAAAATGGCAAGGCGTAATGTCACGTACTGTCCAATCCGAAAAGGGTAGGACGTAATATCACGTATCGTCCAATCCGAAAAGGTCATGATTTAGTGTCAAATATCGTCCAATCAGAAAAGGGCAGGACGTAATGTCACGTATCGTCCAATCAAAAAAGGGCAGGACGTAATGTCACGTATCGTCCAATCACAAAAGGGCATGACTTAATGTCACATATTGTCCAATCAGAAAAGAGCATGACGTAATGTCACACGAGGGTAAATCATTACAGAGGGACTTCTGCTAGATCTAGTTTGTCGTCTATACGCGCGTTCTTTTACATGATGCCACTGGATTATAATCGCTCATACGTTTACAATTACACGTCAGGGTTTATTTGTTTCGTGCATACGTTGCTCTAAGCACAATGACGTAACGAGAAGCTAAAACAAATTAGTGACGTTTGATTGGATAATTTTTGTCGCGCGGAAATCCCGCTCGGCTGTATGTGTTGCGCTGTAACTTCTAATGTGGAAAAACCCTAGAGGAAGCTAACTTGGTAAACGATGGAAGTAAAATTAAAACAACTAAATAACGAATAGAATCCTAGAGAAGAAGATTTATGAAAGACGTAGTAAAGATAGCAGAGAACAGAAATAAATAAAGAAGTGAATCTTATGAGCCGGCTTGATAGAAGGACAATTTACAAAAGCTAGATTACGGGTGAAATGTTTTGAAAGAATCATATAAGAACCTGTATAGTAATATGCTACTTTTAACATTTAAAAGTATACTTAAAAGTTATTAGACATTTTCACTTAAACCAGTGCTAAAACTCCACAAGCATTTTAGACCACATTCATGGAAGTAAAATGGTCTAAAATCGTTTAAAAACCACAAGTAATAGTGCATCCAAATTATATCCCTTTGACTACGTTCTTATGACAAAATGTCTATGAACGATTCTTTAGGAATTCTAAATTATTATCTTATATTACTGTCCAGAGTTCAAGGATGATGCAAGACTATATCGCATATTTTTAGTAAAAAAAATCGTATTTAAAAAAATGTATATGCAGTACGTTTTCGTCACCCAGGTTACCATACTTTCACGAGTTTCGTACCAGCGCTTCCTGAAATTACTGTGTTAAATCATCAAATTAGAATACACAACCTTTCTTCATTGAATCGAAAATAGGGTTTTTTGTTGTGATTTAGGACTATTATTTATACTCTGCATCAATCGTTTCTTTCCCAATCTTTTCAAGACTTTTTTTTTTTTGAACAGGTCCTGGTATTCAAATTTGAACTCCTATTACTTTAAATGCATTTTTTATTCATTTTAAAATAGTTTACATGGTGAAATTAAAAAGTAGAGCGTGGAAAGTAGAGTGACCACAGTAAATCCGTGAAACACTTATTACTAAATAGTACAAAATAGTGCYAGTTAAACAATAGAAAACAATTGAATTTGTATGAAATTGTGCTATTTAGTATTGCTAAAGTTTCACGGATTTACTGTGGTCACTACTATTACGTATATAAAGGAAAAGATCAAAGCTTGCAGTATGTAGAAAAACTGCATTCCTTTTGGAATAATATTTAGAAAATCCCCACTACCGCCCACCTTTACCATTCAGCTTTCCGGTACATGAACTACTTTCGTGATTTTGTCCAATCACAATTCATTCTCAAACTCGTCGTCAATGGCAACTGTTCTCAATAAGTTCATTGACCGAAATAAATACAGTGAAACCCCTCTATACCGGACCCTCAGTATACCGGAATTCTCTCTAAACCGGACAAAAGTTTTGGTCCGGAAATTTTTCCCATATATCTTTTGTAAAATAAACCTCAGTAAACCGGAACCTCTCTATTCCGGAAACCGGACGAAAATTTCGGTACCAAACGCTATTTAACAATAGAATTCAACCCCACTAGTCCGGAAGAACGTACACTTGTTTCGGAACTACCGTCACTAGCGTATTTGCGGGTGTGTAAATTGAGTCTACAGGGACAGCTTCTAAACTCACAAAATCATCGAACATTTTCTTTAAATAGTAAATCTTGTTCACAAATAGACATATAAAGACTAATTAATTGTTTTCAATATATAAATGTTCAAACAGAATGCATAAGGAAGGTTTAATAGTGTTGAGAAATACTAAAGATCGAATGGTTCGCGAAGTTGCGGCCGCCATGTTTTTTCATGTCACATGGCTTTGGGGTCATTCCCAGTCCATTTTACCGGGGATTTTGTTCAGATCGTATTTAGAATGTTTCTTCTTGGCGTTCTTTTGAAATAAAAGTTAAGAAATTTGCTTAGTTTTTGATCTTATTGTTGATATTTTTACTTGAACTTTCGTTTACGTGATTGTTTATACTGACGCCAAACGATTAGACACAAACATATTTTCAATAGGTGTGATATCGCACCTATTCAAATCAAAAACAAAAGTAATTTGCAAAAACCTCAGTATACCGGAACCCCCGCTAAACCGGAAATTTTTATCGGTCCCAGCACTGTCCGGTATAGAGGGGTTTTACTGTACTCGAATTCAATTGTAACAAAGTTGGAAAATTACCTAAAGTTGGGTAATTTTTACACCTAGAAAAATGACGAGGGAATCTTATAAATAATGCTTGCTTAATTCACCACACAATTGACGATTGACGAAAGATTATATGACTGCACTATGACAGAAAAGAAAATCGTAAGTATTGCTAAATGGTTTGGATTGATAGAGTACAAACACTATAAGTGTGTAACATAAATACCACTAAATACTGCTAAATTATGCTAATCCTATTGTTTTCTATTGTTTAATTAGCACTATTTACTACTAAATAGTGCAAAAAAAGATATAACTAGCTAAAAACTAGTGTGAGCTGCGTCGGTGTTTCTAATGAAACAGCAATGATGAAAAGGTAAATTATACACCGTGAAAAGATGAAAAAACTTACTGACGTTTCGGACGCTAGTCCTTCGTCGGAGTAAAAGAGAAAGAAGTG